GGGCTGGAGAGATGGCTCAGAGGTTAAGAGCATTGCCTGCTCTTCCAAAGGTCCTGAGTTCAATTCCCAGCAACCACATGGTGGCTCACAACCATCTGTAATGAGGTCTGGTGCCCTCTTCTGGCCTGCAGAATATTGTATACATAATAAATAAAAATAAAAAAAAAAAGAAATAAACATGTTAACAACCAGTGACCAGCAGTGGTGGTGCACCCTGCAATCCACTCTGGCACTCTGGAGGCTGAGGCCTGTGGGTGCTGCAGGCTTGAGGGATTCCTGGGAAGCCAAATCAAAGTCTGTCTACAAAAAAAGAACATGGTGCTGGGTGAGGTGCCGCACGCCTTTAGTCCCAGAATTCGTAAGGCAGAGGCAGGCGGATCTCTGTGAGTTCGAGGCCAGCCTGGTCTGCAGAGTGAGTTGTAGCACAGCCAGGGCTACACAGAGAAACCCTGTCTTGAAGAAGCAAAACAAAGCTCAGAGTAGTAAGATGGGGCAGGGTGATTAACATGCTTGCCACCAAGCCTGACCACCCAAGTTTTATTCCCAGAACTAACAGTATGGAAAGAGAGAAGCGACTCCCACAAATTGGCCTCTGATCTTTACATAGGTGCTATGTACACTCAATAAATACACAATAAGTACACAAATAAATCAATGTAATTTAAAAATGTTTAAGCCTGTGACTGGTGGAAGCCACGGGCTTGGCATATCGTCCCCTGAGTGGCAAGATTTTGACTGTGCTCAGGTCTTCCTATATCCATACCCAGCCCAGCTAGGATTCTCTGTGGGCCACAGACTAACAATTTGGGCCAGAGTTGGTTGGGTTTTGAAAAATGAGAGACAGGGGAAAGGGGGGGAAGGGCAGGGAGAGGGAGAGGGGCAGAAGGGGGCAGAGAAGGGGAAAGTAGGCAGGGAAGCAACTCACCCGAGGTACAGGGCAATGTTACTATTGCAGAAGTTCCTGAGCACGTTTGTGTTGAGAAAGGCGTAGGATAGTATGACCTGCAGACACACAGACCTGTCGGTCAGGAGGAGGCC